AAATCAATGTCCTTCTAGTGGTTTGAACATGTTAAAACATCCCTGAAATCTCAATCATATAATCAGAATTTTATAGTGTTCTCACTCTATCTGTAAAGATCATTTGGAAGACTTTAGACTCTATTAATTTTAAAAAGGAATGTTTATTAGCCATATGCAGAATTTCTAATGATGATATTAATTATACAGCTTCTAATTCACTTTTCAGACCAGTTTTTGAAATGGCCATTATCAGTATTGGATTTAGTTCCAATTACTTGATTTACAAAAATGTACATTTAGAAAGAAAAGGGTTAAAAGAAACAGAAACGTAAAAATTCAAAATGAGAATTAAATCTCTCAATTGTTGTAGTAATTATCAGGGACATGCAACTGAAAATGTCTCACCTTTCATCTTTTTTTCTTAATTCATAAAGTTATCTTGTAGAATTTGATGAGACCCTCCTAGTCATTCTCAACTGGGGTACTGCTGTCACCTAATGGTGTTTGAGAGTGTTGGGGCTAGGGCACATTTTTGGTTGTCACAGCAACTGGGATGGCATTTGGTGCCCAGTGCCAGGAATAGTAACATTGTGAATGCCAGGGACAGTTTGCTTCGTAAAGTCTTTCATCCAAAAGGGGCTGGGCGCCGTGGCTCACACTTATAATCCCAGCACTTTGGAAGGCCGAGGTGGGCAGATCACCTGAGGTCAGGGGTTCAAGACAAGCCTGGCCAACATGGTAAAACCCTGTTGCGACTAAAAATACAAAAATTAGCTGGGTGTGGTGGCACATGCCTGTAACTCCAGCTACTAGGGAGGCTGAGGCAGGAGAATCACTTGAACCGGGAGGCAGAGGTTGCAGTGAGCTGAGATCGCACCACTATACTCCAGCTTGGATGACAGAGTGAGACTTCATCTCAAAATAAATAAATAAATAAATAAATAAAACCCAGTAGCATTGTCCCTTCCCCACTGACAAACTTATCAAATCCAGAAGCTTTAGAGTTTCGTGTCTAATTATTTTTCTCCTAAACGAAATCACCCAAGTCAAACAAAAAATGTATTTTTAGAATTACAGCAACATACAACCTGAATTTTGTGAGTTTCGTGGCTTTATCTTAAAGCAGCATTTCCCTACGGGGAAATGGTTTCTTTCTCCTTAGGAATGCTGTGGCAACTTGATGAAACAGCCAAATCCACCAGGGCAGGTCACTCTCCCATTACACTGATTCCACAATAAATAGAAAAAAAAAAAAAAAATCTCATTGAGGTAGCTGCAATTCTACAGGCTAACTTAAAGCCTCCTTTTTCTACCCATCATTTTTGAAAGCAAAATTACATTTTACTATTTTACATAACCAGTGAAAAGGAGTTGAAAGCATATAGCTCACTGTTTTTGATGCTCTGGAAATGTTGAGGGTGGGTTTTTAACCAGTGATTTTTAACATACAGTGAATTTGTCAGACTTTTAAACACTAGCTAAGGTAGTCAAACTTGATCCCCATTAAAAATCAAGGAATTGGGGGTGGGGGAGTGTTTAGGAGTGATCCAGAATGACTTCTCCCGGAATTACTGTGCATATAACTTTATTTTTCAGTTTTCATTTGAATGGTAAGAGTTTTATGAAAGACGGTTTTAAAACTTATTCTGAGTTAAATATTAATACTTAAAAAATTTTATTGTACTAGACTTATTGCAGCCTTTTGAAAGTAGCAGAGTTTCATCATACCACATATATAATAGAGCATACATTTTCTATAATCAGGCACCTTTTGCTGCTTTTGAGTAAGACTGTTTTCCTGTTTAGGTGTTAAGCATTGCCAGACATACAAATCTATTCTCTTCTCTCGATTGTAGCGTAGCCTGACAGCTCTAGATACAGCATTTCTCTGATGAAAAATGAGTGTCTATCAGGACATCTAGAAGACTAGCCATGTTTTCTCAGACTCCACCTTTGTTTGCACTCTGTTGCCTGTGAGGAGCTTCCTGGCATGTGATTATTTACTCCAAACTAGAGTTCCAAGCACCTACATTAACTATTTTATATTGTGTGCAGAATAGTATATCTATTAATGTCAGAAATGATACACTGCACATACTGCTTTTGCACTCTTAAAATTTTTGTACTAAATAATAGAAAATATTTATATTCTTTGAGTGTGAGCTTTGAATAGATGGCATTATCACTTTATTGTTTTTTTAACAAAAACTTTTTCTCAATTATTCTATTGCAATGTTATTCTGAGCAAGTCCTATGCCAAATATCTTGTATAATGTTTGTATGGAAGATTAAATTTTACTCTTGTGTGGTAATACTATTCAGTTACTGATTTTATAGTTGGAATTTGATATTCCAGCACAAAGTCCACAGTGTATTCAGAAATCCAAGTTGGTGTCATACATTTCATTTTGATGTGAACTTTTCTTTGCTTTCCTTTGTTCTAAGACTCCATTTTGCAATAAACGTTTTGACAGTAAATCCCTTTGTTATGTGTTGCTGTGTATATAAGATCCCCGTTAGATTGGATTCCCAACGTCCTTTGAAGGAATTGTTGTCACACGCATGGACTCAAGTGTTAGCTTTTCTCTCCTAAAGTCAGTGGGAGTGTAAATAATAAATTTGTAAAGTGATGAGACAGTCATGGGGTGGATTTTTTTTATTCCCCAAAGAAAGAAAGGCTTAGAACTCATCTTACAGCAGATACACTGATATGTTAACAAGGTACAGAAAACATAAAGGAAATGGGAAGCCACTCTGTGGCTGGAGATCATTAACTCTTATCCCCTGTCTTGCCAAATTCAAACCGTCATGAAGCAATGCCTGGCTCTAGCCTTCCTCTCACTGATCTTTGCAAGCATTGTGCAAAGAATCCTGCTGGAGTGAGCATCCAGCTGAATGAAGCCAGCGCCTTTCCCTAGGCATCGTATTGGAGAACCATCCTCAGTGTGCAACCAACCCCCTCTCCTTTTGACATTAAAACCAAAGATTCTGGTTGTGATTAGTTATTTCATTTACAACTTCTATTCTATTCAAAAAATACTTATTTCTCAATTTTGTTTAGCACAACATTTGGGAATTTTATAAAAATAACACTACACATCCCCTCCCCCCATCCCAGTTTCTATAGAAGTGAGCCATGATGCAGGAAAATATTTCTGTAACTCAGACTGTTGTTTCTTGAACGAACCAAAAAAGTTCCATATTTCACGTTTGCTTCTGTGATGGGAGAAGGGAATGGCATGATTCTGCAGCTGTGTCCAGCTGCCCTGTGAAGAGACAAAATTGTCATATATTTTCTTTGATCCAGTTCAGCTTTAGATTCTGTTCCTCAAGTCTTTCTCCTTTCCCCATTATGAAAGCAGGTGACTGTGTGTGATGATTCCTACCCACCTCAAGTGTTTCCGAGGGGGCAGAGGCAACCCTGGAGGGAAGGGAAGCACATGCAGGTAGCAGAGTATACTCAGAACAGGATTGATTTCAGTGTATACTTTATGTCCTGGCAACTTGTCTATAAATACTGAAACCCTGCACATTCATGTCCATTTCAGTAGTGGGTTTTTCCGCTTGCCTCCCCACTCTGTCTGCCTCATTTCCCTTTTTTCCTCCAACATGAACTCATTGCCTTCCATTCCCATCCTTCCCTCCTGTACCTCCCTCTCCCGCCATGCCAGGTTTTGCCTTGTTGCTTCTCTTTACCCGGAATCACCTCTCTTCTTGCGTTGCAGGACCCAGCTCAAGCCGTGCTGCCCTCCATTCTCCCATCTTCTTTTACGAACCCCTTTGTGAATACATCTGTCTATGGTATACCCACAGACATTGAACTCTATACTAGAGAACTTAGCATTGCAGTAAATGCACCCTTTAATTTTATTCATTCTTTAAAATGACTCAACAAAAATTCACCAGATATTGTATGCCAGGCCCTATGTTAGGCATTAAGTAAACCAAGATTCACATGGCCTTGGAGTCCCCCAGGTATAATTTATACCTGTATTAGCCCCAGTTAAATTAAAAGCTCCTTGAAAGCAGGGGCTGTGCCTTTTCTAGCAGAATTTTGAGCATGTGGGTACAAAATACCTATAAGTTAGAAAGGTTAACTCACTTACCCTCTGATTTTTATACTAACAGTAAAAGCAACCAAACTCAACTTCTTTTTTGAAACTCACAAGAAAATATTATTTGTAACAGAAGATGAGTGATGCTTTGCCATATTATCTCATGAGCAATTCATTTTGGGGGGTCAAGTTAGGCTAGTTAAAGCTAATAGCTGTACCAAACTTTAATTCGACCTATAGGACACACAGACTTCTAAAAATTATATAAGCATTTATTATTTAGATGGCCATGGGGCATATATTGAAGAGAGTAAGTAGCTCTTTGGCTCTGAAAATGGTGCAGGCTGAAGTCCTCTGGAGATATCTTCGTTTGCACTTGTGAACCTCACAGGGCGGTATTTTAATCTGTTTTAGTTAGAGCAACTCTACAGCCTGGGTTTCTTAGGACCGTACCAATTTCCCATGTCCTTCTTCATCCGTGGGTGCTAACATCTGGTTTTTAAAATATTGTGCAAATGAGATCTTTAAATACTTAGAAATTCCTCTTGAGAATAGGCATAATACATCATCTGGTTACTAAGTGGTTGCTTTGGAATTTTCATTGTTAATCCAATAGTCCTCATGTTGGCTGAGAACTCTGAGGAAGACTCTGGGTCTCTGAGAAAATGTCAGAAATGTCTTGACTGCTGAGGCCTTATTGTGGGATGTAAAAACCATGTACCAACAGAGGAATATGAAACAGCTCCCAAAGTACATGAATTGTTACTGAGAGATTGGTGAACATTACTGGAGCACTGAGAACTGCCTCTTAAGGTCAGGAAAACTGTTTTCCATTCAACCCAACCTGCAGGAGGAACCAAGCCAGAGCAGCAGCTGAGAGCTAAAACAGTGAGACAAGAGGATGAACCAAAAAGACAATGATAATATTACCTTTTTTTCGTTTCATGCATATTTCCCATGCAGCTGCTGCCTTCCTTTGAGATTGGTGCATGGACAGAAGACGATGTGGTAAGCTCTTTGTATTCATGCCTTATTTGACTTGGGCAGGTATTTCATAAATTTATCCCTAAGTTTTTAGGTACAGAGATTGGGCCTTAGGAAAGTCTAACTAGGAGAAGTTGACAAATTTTTTTTTTTTTTTTTTTTTGAGACAGAGTCTTGCCCTGTCGCCCGGGCTGGAGTGCAGTGGTACAGTCTCAGCTCACTGCAACCTCCACCTCCTGAGGTTCAAGCGATTCTCCTGCCTCAGCCTCCTGAGTAGCTAAGACTATAGGTGCCCACTAGCACGCCTGGCTAATTTTTGTATTTTTAGTAGAGACGGGGTTTCACCATGTTGGTCAGGCTGGTCTCAAACTCCTGACCTCAAGTGATCTGCCCGCCTCGCCACCCAAAGTGCTGGGATTAAGGTGTGAGCCACTGCACCTGGCCTTTTTTCTGTTTTTAATGCAATAATGATTGAAAATAAGGCCTCAAGAGTAAAGCAAGTATCTGCAACTCTTCTAAGTGGGTTCTACCTTCCTATTTGCTCTGAAAGTATTCCAGAATACAATAACAAATACCAATGAGGAAATTAAAGTGGCAGCTCGGGAAAACAAATGAACATACTTGAGAAAAAAGTGATCTTAAATCTTTTTAAAAGAACAGGGATGGCCTTGAGCCATGGTAGAGGAGGATCTGGTCAAGGCAGTGCTGGACTGAACTGAACTGGGACACCACTGAACTGGCTTTCCTTCTACCTCAGGCCTGTTTGAAAACGAGGCATCATATTTGCCAGCCTCACTCTGGCCTCCCAAGCGGGAATAGACACAAGCACGCCCAGACATTCCCGATAGCTTTAGCCAGATAAGCTCTATGTTTTTGAGAGGCTGCACTCAGACTACTGAAATCCAAAGGAAGTCCTGCACTCTGCATTCTTGATAGAAACCCTGAGAAACAATCCAACTTAGTCTGTTACATCACCATATCTATTTTCTTAGGGACAAAACAGGTAAGAAAATTCCTGATAAGAAAACTCGGGGACTAGGCTGGGCAAGGTAGCCTGTAATCCCAGCACTTTGGGAGGCTGAGGCAGAAGGATCACTTGAGGTCAGGAGTTCAAGACCAGCCTGGCCAACATGGTGAAACCCCATCTCTTCTAAAAATACAAAAATGAGCCAGGTGTGGTGGCGCATGCCTATAATCCCAGCTACTTGGGAAGCCGAGGCAAGACAATCGCTTGAACACGGAAGGTGGAGGTTGCAGTGAGCCAAGATCGCACCACTGCACTCCAGCCTGGGCAACAGAGCAAGGCTCCATCTCAAAAAAAAAAAAAAAATTGTTTTAAGTTCTATAAAACTCAGGGACTTATGCCTATCCAGGTCTATTTAACAAGCTCAGGGTATCGCTAAATTAAAATGAAAAAAACAAAAGATGTAATGTGAGCCTTAGTGGGTTTGGGCTCCAGCCCAGGGAACAGACCAGGTGCCACGAAGTGCAGACTAGCTACTGGAAACTCCTCAAAAGATCTGTTTACCTAGCTCAACCTGGTTTTGGGCCCAGGCATTTCCCTCTCTGCCCTTTGTATTCTTTTGAAGTGCACCTGCTTTCAACATTAGCTAACCTCTTTGGCTTCCATAGGGTAAGGAAACTTGGCACCAGTTGCCACTATTTCTTCCCATTCACTGAGCCCCAGTGAGCCTCACTTTCCTGCCAGCCTTGCTTAACAAGGAAAGAGGACTCAGGGTCTCCTTTATTCACAAGCCTGGATGTAATCTCTTTATCCCTTGCTGCAAAGTTTCTCTCTCATTTGAAAAGAAATTTTTTAAAAAGCACTGAGTTCTAACAGCTATTTTTAGTCTTTGCTCTGAGGTTGAGTGGTTTCCAGGCCACTTAAATAAAATTCCAGAGTTGAGGACTCCCCCAGAGAATCAGAGGGACTGAGTCTGCCCTCCCATCCTTCTCCCCTCACCAAGGTACTGTGAGAGGCCACCAATAAACCCAGGCCCTGTGATATACAGGGACTAAGGGTCACTGGGTCCAGTCTCCTCATTCTACATAGGAAGCTCCATACTTTGACTTGGCCGGGGCCACGTGGCTACTTCACAGCCTGGCCTAGAACAGAAGATTCTTTCCGTCCACTGCTGTGTGGTCCCTAGAACTCATAGAATTCCTGAGTAAACCGGTGCCCCTCAGCAATCCAGGGGGCCACTGGCACATAAATGGAAAAATCACTATAAGTAAGAACCCTCTTGAAAGGATTTAAAAATATCTCCCAAAGACGGAGGAAAACCAATGGTCTTTTAACTGTCCAAGACCCCCGAAGAGAGGGATATCTCCCATTTGAAAGCTTGAGGTTTTAAAACTACAAAGAGAAAGTCTTCTATTTTACCTCTGTGGTTGAGCCAGGAATTAAAGCTATTTTGATCTATTGAAAACTCTATGTTTACTGTGAAGACCGGCCACTGACCATGTGTGAATCTTCAAAACCATATGTGTCCTCTCTTTCACAGTATTGTTGGGTTCAGCAGCTCGTCAGAAAAGGCAAGTGGAATAAGTTACCTTCTTAATTCATGGAGTTAACTTTGTTTTGGATGTGATTTCGTCTAATTTTATACTGCTTTCTAATCACTTCCTTCAGGTGACTCTTCAGCAGAGATGAGCGTATATGCAAGCTTGTTCAAAGAAAACAACATTACAGGGAAGCGGCTACTGCTGCTGGAGGAAGAAGACCTGAAAGACATGGGCATTGTCTCCAAGGGGCATATCATTCACTTCAAGGTACCTCAGAAAGGGAGAACATTCCATCAGCAAATCTTTTTTTTTTTTTTTTTTTGAGACAGTCTTGCTCTGTTGCCCAGGCTGGAGTGCAAAGGCGTGATCTCGGCTCACTGCACCCTCCACCTCCTGGGTTCAAGTGATTCTCCTGCCTCAGCCTCCCAAGTGGCTGGGATTATGGAAGCCCGCCACCACACTCAGCTAATTTTTGTATTTTTAGTAGAGACAGGGTTTCACCATGTTTTCCAGGCTAGTCTCGAGCTCCTGACTTCAAATGATCCATCCACCTCAGCCTCCCAAAGTGCTGGGATTACAGGCGTGAGCCACCACGCCTGACCTCCATCAACAGATCTTTACTGAGCACCTACTATGCAGCAGATCAAACATTAGGGGCTGCAGATGGAAACGGTGCTATGCTGGTCATTACTGTGCTGAAATGCTTACATCAGTTGATAATCAGTGGCCGCCCCCAAGCACCCCTATTCCTTCCTCATAATCCAACAGCATAAAGATGCATACGTGGTATAGTAGGAGTCACAGGGAGATACTTGAATTATCACCTCCCGTCCTCAGGAAGTCTCTAATCTGGTGGAGAAAACAGATACTGCTTATGAGATAATGGTAAATGACAGCTGTAAAAAATACCACAAAGGCAGTGTGGTGCCTGGAAAACAGCCATCCACCCGGAACAGCAGGAGGTGACTCAGTTTAATTCTAGAGACAAAAGTCCATCAGGAATCCCTAAGGACCCCGGAATTTCTGCATGGCCAGAGGGAAACATAAGCCAATGCAGTAACCTAAAGGCATTTGTAATTTTTGTCATTATGACCTGGAACAGACGCCACCTTGTATGTGTTTTAATCCCCACTTACTCAGGAAATTCTACCATTTCCCCCAAAACTTAAGTGTTGAGTAGTTTCAAAGCTAAACCTCTGTGTTCACTGTGGTGGTCGTGGTCATGGTTTTTTGTTTGTTTGTTTTTGTTTTTTCAACTTAGCAACTTAAACTGAATAACAATTGCTGGCATTGTGTGGTCATTGTGATTAATCTTATTTCAAGAGACATCTTAGAATAAAATCAAGTTTGCTCCTCAAACCCGCACCCCCATTCCAGTGTGGGTAGATGGACGAGTATGTATAGGTTAGAAAGAAGAGACACAGAATAAAGGAGAAAATTTAGAAAAAGCAGCCTCCTGTCCAAATCCACACCTTCACAAAGGCTCTACCAGCATGCCAACTACTCCCTATCTCAGAGCTACCCACACTGACCTTTCTAGAGAAATCCCCATTAAGACCCAAAGAGAGCCCATTCATTTCATTCTGTGGACCCTAGGTCCAGGAAGAAACATCCTTACAGACTCTCAGCACCCTTTGCATAACAGCTTAGCACTCACCCACCAGAGAACATCTCCACAACAGAAAGAGGACCTTGCTGTCTTCTCCCTCCTAGAAGAAGGGCAGGAAAACCCATGCATAGCGTATTTCTCAAAGACTGGCAAAGAATGTAATCCCAGCCTTGGGGTGTGGGCAAGTCCATCCTAAAAGCTATGCTGGCTTAGGTGGGCCACAGTAGGAAAAAGTATTTTCTGCAGTACAGAGATGTTTCAGCGCTCCAAAAAAGAAATTTTGTAAATCTTGTCCTATTTGGCAGATACCAAATAAGATGCTCCCACCTCCCCTTCCCACCTGCCATCTTTGAAAAGGACCAGTATTTCTTTTTTTCTTTTCTTTTTTTTTTTTTTTGTTTGTTTTGAGATGGAGTCTCGCTCTGTCACCCAGGCTGGAGTGCTATGGCACGATCTCCGGGGCTCTAGCCATCCTCCCACCTCAGCCTCCCAAGTAGCTGGTACTACAGGTGCACACCACTATGTGCCTGACTAGTATTTTTTTTTTGCCCGCCACCGCGCCCGGCTAATTTTTTGTATTTTTTAATAGAGACAGGGTTTCACCGTGGTCTCGATCTCCTGACCTTGTGATCCGCCCGCCTCGGCCTCCCAAAGTGCTGGGATTACAGGCGTGAGCCACCGCACCCGGCTAAGGACCAGTATTTCTTAAGGATCAGTTCAGAAGATGGGGTGGTGAGCTGGGATACCTCACCAGATGCCCTCAGTGATATACATCTTTCCAAGGGTGGCCCTGGATAACCTAAGTACCCCTTTCATGCTGAGAGGTATCATTTAGGCACGCAAAGTCCAGACTTATTGTTTATTGTTCAGCAAATTCAGTGAATGGCTACTAATTGTGAGACTGGGCCTATGAAGAGTCAAAGAAACCTGTGGTTAAGGAATGCATACAGCATCTCCTTGGCAATTGGGAGGAAAGGACCGATTCATTACCCAGACTTGGGAGAGGCCATGGTGGGAGATGGAAAGGGAAAACTTCACAGAGTGGGTAGCCCTTGAGCCGGATCTTGGAGGAATGACAGATTTTGGAATGTAGACCAGGAAAGGAAAGAACATTAATCTAGACAGAGAGAACAAAGAGTTAAGAGAAATGGAAGAGAATGTGGAGGAACAGAAAAGATGAGTCCCGATCTGAGTAGCTTAAACAGCTGTCTACAGAACACGAGTGATGAGTAGAATGCATGGAACCTGAAGTGGAAAGAAGGTGGGGCCATATCCTGGACAGCTTACAACTTCAGGTTGGGGGGAAAAGCTGGAATATGACCAGCTGTCAGGAGTATTGAGAATGGACATGTTTGCACTTTGCTTCTGGAAGTTTTAAAATGGATTAAAAAGGCTAGGCTGGGTTTTGGAAAAACAGGAGGGTATAAATGTAGACAATAATAAGCACTGCAGTGTAACAAAAATGCGCATGGAGAAAAGAGGAAGATGCCACAGGTAAGAGGGCTGTTCTCAGGCTCAAGAAGGAAAGTACAATGAAGTACTGATTGATGTGGGCAGACTGGCTGGGGCCGCTGTCGCAGGCAGTAATATAATTTACCAAGACAGTCATAGGTAAAGAAAGGCAGATTTATTACACAAAGTATGAAGATGTGTTGCAAGGGTGCAATGGGCATCTCAGCAGAGAAGGGGCTGTCTGCCAAGAGGCAGGGGCTTGAGGGAAGTTTTATGAGATCATACTGGAGGGGCTACATGCAGATAGGGTGTGCAGACAAGGTCATGCTGCTGGGGTTACTTGCAGAATGAGGTATTTGGGAACAGGTGTTGTGATTGTCTGTGATTAGCCGTCTCTCAGAACAATTGTTATCCCCCACCTGGGACCCCCTCCTTGTTGTAGCTTACTTAACTTATTAGGACTCCACACTGATATGTGCCGCAGCATAGATGAGCCTTGAACATGATGCTAAATGAAAGAAGCCAGACACAAAAGTCACATATTGTATGAGACATCTTGAATAGGTGAATCCATAGACAGAAAGCGATCAGTGATTGCCAGCTGCTGGGGGGAGGAGGCAATGGTTATTGACTGCCTAATGGGAGTAGAGTCCCCTTTGGGGATGATGAAAATGTTTTGGAACTAGATAGAGGTACTGGTTAATTTTACGGCATGTGAATTTCACCTCATTAAAAAGTAATAATAAAACAAAGGACAGCACAGCCACCTCTACACCCTGCTCAAGAGCAGTCTTCTTCCAGCTAGGAAGCTTTCTGTCTGTGGCAGAAAGGATGTATTTGGCCAGGAAGGTGAAGAGGAAGGCAGGAATGTGTGTCCACAAAGTAGGAAATGCGGAGATAATGCTGTTACAAAAGCCAAAGGTTGGAAAAGCTTTAAGATAGAATCAGTGGTCAAAAGGGTCTAAGGGCCAGGCACTGTGGCTCGTGCCTGTAATCCCAGCACTTTGGGGGATCAAGGTGGGCAACTCACTTGAGCCCAGAAGTTCAAGACCAGACTGGGCAACATGGCAAAACCTTGCCTCTGCAAAAAATGCAAAAATTAGCCAGGCATGTGGTGCACGCCTGTGGTGGTCCCAGTTACTTGGGAGGTTGAGGTGGGAGGATTGCTTGAGTCCAAGAGGTTGAGGCTGCCATGAACCGTGATTACACCACTGCACTACAGCCTGGGCAATAGAGTGAGACCCTATCTCAAAAAAAAAGGTAGGGACAGGGGTCTGAGCCTGCAGAGAAGCCAAGGAACATGCAGAGAGAAAAAGCCCTATTGGAAGCAGCCACTTAAAAGTAAAAACAAAAACTATTTGACCCACTAAGAGTGGGGTCAGTGTGATGTCCTCTTTTTATGACATCTGCAGAGGGTCTGCCCAGAGCTCCAAATGAAGGAGTAGCCTGCATCTGTTGGGGGACCTAACACTGCCCTCAAACTCCTGAGTGCGTCTGCATGAGCTTCCAAAGACAATCATTCACAGAAGGGCAGTCTCCAAAGTGTGGAATGCGGACCCTCCCGCTTACTGCCAAGGCTGGAGCTGTATGTAAGAATGGCTACCCAGTAGGGGCTCAGCCAACAGCACTAAACTCAGCCAGAGCGTGAGGATTTCCAACAAGTTTATATGAGAGGGAAAGATAAAGGGAAAGGGTTGTGTGCACTTACTCTAGGAGGGCCCTGCATAGACTCTCGGGGCAATCAAGATAAGTAATGCTCCAAGCTGGGCCTTTGGGGATGAGTATATCCACACTGGAGGAGTCCTCCGGGTCCCTGTCTCAAGTGTTTCTCACACACAGCCTGATGGTAAGAATGTATCCTTTATTCTTTGCGCTTTCACTGAGGAAGGCACAATTGTTGTGTACTTTCTCCAAGAGTCTCTCAGTCCTTAAATGGAATGGTAGGTGATCAGACTGGACAGTGGAGCAGTATATCCATCCATTCTTTTTTTTTTTTTTTTTTTTTTTGAGCTGGAGTCTTACTCTGCTGTGCAGGCTGAAGTGCAATGGTGCAATCTTGGCTCACTGCAACCTCTACCTCCCGGTTTCAAGCGATTCTCCTGCCTCAGCCTCCTGAGTAGCTGGAATTATAGGCGCGGACTACCACACCTGGCTAATTTTTGTATTTTTAGTAGAGATGGGGCTTCACCATGTTGGTCAGGCTGGTCTCGAACCTCTGACCTCATGATCCGCCCACCTCAGCGTCCCAAAGTGCTGGGATTACAGATGTGAGCCACCGCACCCAGCCCCGACCCATTCTTTTGCTGTGTGTTTGTCCCTCCCTTTAAGCCTGACCATGGCTCCCTTCTTCTCTGAGCCTGCAAGCCCTCGTGTGAAGGAGCTGAGTGTAAGAAGTAGGACTGAACACCCAATAAGTGTTCATTACATTGTCAGCTGTCAACAGTTTTTATTTTGCTTTAAAATAAAATGCATCTAATTTTCTCAGGTTGGTACTTTTTTACTCTCTCCGCAATCAGTTCTTAGAAAATCTGAACTGTGCCTGCTGAGTATCCAAAACATCATCATAAATTGTTTTCCTTTCCTTTCAGATTTCTTTGTGTTTCATTGGCAGAGGTGATGTTGGACACATATCCATAGAAATGTTCTTATAATGCAATCAACCTTTTAGTGAGATTCTAGCCTTCCTGAAAGTCTGGTGTTATACTCATGTGCTATGTTGCTTTTCTCACCGTTACTCAGAGTGGCACCTGCAGTCTGTACCCTAGAACATCCACTTCTCAGTACTATACTCTGCCGGTGTTTGAAAAATGGTTTTATTTATTGCTTAGTCTGAGGTTCAACATCTTTAAAATGTCTTCCTTTTCTTGGCCTCATCCCTGTAATCCCAGTACTTTGAGAGGTCAAGGCAGGAGGCCAGGATTTCAAGACCAGCCTGGGCAACAGAGCAAGACCCCATCTCTACAAAAAATAAAATAAAATAAATTAGCTGGTGTGGTGCTGTATGCCTGAGTCCCAGCCACTTGGGAGGCTGAGATGGAAGAATCTCTTGAGCTCAGGGGTTCAAGGCTGCAGTGAGTTATGATAGTGTTACTGCACTCCAGCCTGCATGGTAGAATGAGACCCGGTCTCCAAAAGAAAAAATAATTTTTAAAAATTTCTGGTCCTTTAAATAATTACAAACCACCTACACTGCTTTGGACAATGAGATTTATTCTCAATAGACGTTGGATATTAATGCCCCCAAGATATTTTATGAACTAGGTAAATAAGGAATGTTTTTGTTTGTACCCAATGATTTTAATCTTCTCTTGGTATTGTTGGATCATTAATAAAGTCATATGATTTTTTTTTAACAGTCAGCCATTGAGAAATTAACCCATGATTACATAAACTTGTTTCACTTCCCACCGCTAATTAAGGTAAGTAAGGTTTTTCTTACGGACACTAATGCTACCTTTATTGACACATGCACCTGCTGCATCCACACCTAAATTTGCCAATGTCGGAAATGGTTGTTTGAAGTGAAATTTCATCACATCTGTCTAACAAAAGGCCCTTTGAAGCAAGGGATGTGTATAAATTGAACACCCTTGTTCCCCACAAGTTGAAATATTAACAATTCGTTCATGATAAGAACAACACACCTCACTTTAGTGGCTAGGAGTTCTAAGTGCCAACATTGTAGGTGAGGTCCTGTGGCCTCCCACCTGGGCCTGGATACTTTTCAACATGTAAGTCACTGAGAGAATTCATACCCTGGAGCGCTCAATCATCACTTTCATAGGGGATGGGAGGTTTACTGTTTGAATAACATATTAGTATACTTAACATTTTGAATCTACTCTAAAGGAATATGGCATAATTTGTTTAAAATCAGCAAATACTTGCAATTCATATACAGAACTTTACTTATTCACTAACAGCTATAGTTTTTCATCTCTAAGCCCTCAAAGATTCGTTTTGTTCCTCTGCTTCATCTTCCATCCACATTTGCATCCTCCATCCACTGCGTAATTCCTCTTCAGGAATAGCTTGTAAATGCCCTATGTGTTGTGAACCTCTCAAGCTGAAATCTCACAATGCATCTCGAGGTGCTAACTGCATTTCTAGGGTAAAATTGCACAATGCAAGATGCATTGTGATAAATGTGAGACAGTGACATTCAATTTGAACTGCATGAAATAAATCATTTGGCAAAGTTCTAAAAGGCATAATACGTCATTTCTCTTGCTTGATGTAATTATCATTTGTAGCTTAATCCAAAATAACCAAAAGTTAATGGATTAGGAAAAAAAAAAAAAAAAACTAGTGCTAAGCTATCATCTTCTTTACATGAGAAGTAAAGACAACATCTAGGATAATTGGTGCTTGGTTTCCTGTTTTAGGACTCAGGAGGTGAACCGGAAGAAAATGAGGAAAAAATAGTGAACCTGGAACTGGTTTTTGGTTTTCACTTGAAACCAGGAACTGGCCCACAGGTAAATCACATTTTAAATCCTTTGGATAAATCTCAATCGAATTACTCTTTTTTCTCTTCTGTAACTCCATGGTTTTATACACCCCCTACCAGCTGGTAACTGGATTCTGAGTAAATTTATAGACTTTATAAAATAGAATTTAGCTGAAAGGCTGCCAGCTGCCTCTGTAATCCAGTCTAGGAATCTTACTTTCTCAGTCAGCTGAAGACGCCCATGTGAGGCCACCCAAACATCAGGATAATTCACAGTAAAGCATGGACAGGGAAGGGGGGCCGTGGATACCAGACTGTGTATACCGCTCATGCCGCAGCTTCCTGATTCCTGTTTCGTAAGAGAAAGCAGCCTTATAATACCGAGAATAAAAACTAAGAATGGAACTGTAGGCCATGTGGAGACACAAATTATCTGCTCTAAATAGGGTGGCAGGGCATTTGACACTTCTTCAATCAGCCTTTCAGTTTATGTCATTTTGAAAGTCTGGAAAAATTATTTGGCCTAGGTAGCCTACGAATTAGAATTACAGTAGGTTTCTGTTACTTTCAATGATCATAAATAGCTAATGATAATAATGATAACTTCTGTTAGCTGACCACTTATTGTGTACCAGGCATACAGTACTGAAGTGTGAAAACTACTTTCCCTTATTTTGCGAATGAGGAAACTGAGGCTCGGACAGGTTAAATAACTTACATGGCTAGCAAATAGCAGAATAAAGATTTGAATGCAGGTTGCTCTGGTCCCAGAACCCAAGCTCTTAACTACTGCATAATATGGAAGCCTTCCCTTCAGGGAAGCCAAGGGACCTTATAAATGCACCTCACAAGCTGTGTGAGCCTACCGATTGCTATGGTAGGCTCAGCTGGCCCTGGCCTTTCCTCAGTGAAACCGTGCTTGCTCCAGGCCATTCCTGGGAACCAGTGCCTGGGAATGACTGGAAATTGTTGTGAGGGGTTGAGTTTTTCCTGGGCCTTCAAAAGATGCTGTTTCTAATAATCCAGTTAAAAATGGGCAAAAGATCTTCATAGGGATTTCTCAAAAGAAGACATACAAATGGCCAACAGGTATATGGAAAATGGCTCAATGTCAGTAATTATCAGGGAAATGCAAATCAAAACCACAGTGAGATGTCATCTCACCCCACTTAGAATGGCTTATATCCAAAAGACAGGCAATAATGAATGCTGGTGAGGATGTGGAGAAAGGAGAACCTTCGTACAAGGTGGGAATGTAAATGATTCAGCAATCCCACTGCTAGGTATATAACCAAAAGAGCGGAAATCAATATATTGAAGAGATATCTGTACTCCTGTTTACTGCAGCACTGTGCACAATATCCAACATTTGGAAGCAAACCTAAGCGCTTATCAACAGATGAATAGATAAAGAAAATGGGGTACATATACACAATGGCATACTGTTCAGCCATAAAATAGAATGAAATCTTATCATTTGCAACAACATGGGTGGAACCGGAGGATATTATGTTAAGTGAAATAAGCCAGTCACAGAAAGACGGGAGCTAAAAATTAAAACACTTGAACTCATGGAGATAGTAGAATGATGATTACTAGAGGCTTGGAAGCATCACAGGGGAGGGCAGGAGGATGCTGGGATGGTTAATGGGTGAAAACAGACAGAATGAATAAGATCTGTTATTTGATAGAACAACAGGGTTACTACAGTAAGCAATAATTTAATATGTATTTTAAAATAACTGGAAGAGTATAATTGGGATGTCCCTAACACAAAGAAATGAGGTCAAGGATGCCCTCAGTTATCCTGATGTGATTGTTACCTATCGTATGCTTGTATCAAAGCATCACATGAACTGGGCGCAGTGGATCACACCTGTAGTCCCAGCACTTTGGGAGGCTGAGGCTGGTGGATCGCTTGAGCCTAGGAGTTCGAGACCAGCCTGGGCAAGATGGTGGAACCCCATCTCTATAAAAAATATGAAAAGTAGCTGGGTGTAGTAGTGTATGCCTGTAGTCCTAGCTATTTGGAAGGGCTAAAGTGGGAAGGATCACTTGAGCTCAGGCGGTCAAGGCTGCAGAAAGCCAAAATTGTGCCACTGCACTCTAGCCTGGGCAACAGAGTGAGACATCATCTCAAGAAAAAAAAAAAATCACATATACACCAAAAATATATACACCTAGTATATACACATAAACATTAATTGTTTTTTAAAGATGCCCTTTCTAGACACCTAGGCAAGAGTGTGTCTTGCCTGCATCACTGCAGGTGTTTCTTTACCTGCTGAATGAAAATCTTTACCTCGCTTGTTTTGGCCACAGAATTTGGTTGAGTGAGAGCTGCTCTGGACCCAGGTTTCTTACATATGAATACTTTTCCCTCTGTGAATGGATCACTGTCAATTCATTCCTGTTGTTAGAAGGAGCCTAGAAAGGGGACAGGGCCGGGCGCGGTGGCTCAAGCCTGTAATCCCAGCACTTTGGGAGGCCGAGACGGGC